CGTCGAGGTTGCGGGGCGGCTATCCATGCCACACGGACATACGTGATGGACCCTAAAAACTCTCGTTGCGTCGTGTTGAAACTTGATATCCGCAACGCTTTTAATACCTTGGAAAGGGATGTTCTGTTAAGCGCAGTTAAGGATGAAATTCCTTCCCTCTATCCTTTCCTTCACCAAGTCTATAAATCTCCTTCGCACCTCTTTTACAATAAGGATCTTATTCTTTCGCAAGTGGGAGCTCAGCAGGGAGATCCACTTGGGCCACTCGTCTTTAGCCTTGCCATCCACAAAATCATTTCCAAGCTGGAGTCACCCCTAAACCTGTGGTACCTAGATGACGGTACTATTGGCGGGCAGCCTGAGGTGGTGGCGAAAGACATTATGGTTTTGATCCCACACCTCAAGGAGCTAGGTTTGGAGGTGAATCCAGCAAAGTGCGAGTTTTTCCCCTGCAGTACTGAAGCTCGCACACACTTTACACACTTTGAAATGTTCTTTCCTGGCCCCAGCGAGATCACACCAGGTACCTTCAGCCTATTGGGCTCTCCTATTTTCCTTGAGGCAGTCCCTGAGGCCATTGCTGCCCGTCAAAATCTTCTCCTTGCCACTCGGGAACGTTTAAAGCATCTTTCTCCTCATGTTGCGGTTCTGCTGCTTCGTATGTGTTTCGCGGTTCCTAAAATCACGTACTTATTGCGGACTACTCCAACCTGGCTTTGTCCGGAGGCTGTCTCTTTGTTCGACGGTGCTTTAAGAGATACTGCTGAGTCGATCCTTAACGTCTCCCTTGATGAGCACCAGTGGATCCAGGCAGCTCTGCCAATAAGATATGGGGGTCTCGGATTACGGCGTGTGCTGGATGTTGGCTTGCCAGCCTTCCTAGCGTCGGCGCATGGGGTTGCGGACCTTGTCGCTGTCACACTTTCTCCAAATGGTGATAGGGCGAGCATACCTTATGTGTCCGAGGCGGTATCGGCATGGTCAGCCGTCAACGCAGGTGAGCCATTTCCAGTGACCCTACACGTCCAGCGAGCATGGGATGACATTGGAGCTAAGGCACTCCTTAAACAAATGTTGGATACCGCTGGGGGTACCGATCTGGCAAGACTGAGGGCCGTATCGCAGCCAGAGTCAGGGGCATGGTTACATGCACTCCCATCGCCTCACTTGGGTACCTTGCTAGACGGCGACTCTTTGCGTGTGGCAGTGGCTCTCCGCCTGGGCTGCAGGGTGTGCGAACCACATAGATGCACCTGCGGTTCCATGGTGGGTGCCGATGGTCTTCATGCACTGAGTTGTCGTCGCTGCGCAGGTAGATTTTCGTGACACCATGCCCTAAATGACATAGTCCGAAGGGCTCTTATATCCGCCAATGTACCCTGCGTGCTGGAGCCATCGGGTCTTAGCAGATCTGACGGGAAGCGGCCGGATGGCTTGACTTTGGTGCCGTGGAAAAACGGCAAGTGCTTGGTATGGGACGCCACATGCGTTAGCACAGTTGCGGCCTCACATCTGAGTCGCACCGTCCAAGCCCCGGCGGCGGCGGCGGAGGATGCCGCTAGTAGGAAGCGATCAAAATACGCCGCAATGGAGACGCACTATTATTTTGTGCCTATTGCGGTGGAGACTTTGGGCAGTTGGGGGTCAGAAGCTAAAAAGTTAATTGCGGAGATTGGTCGCCGAGTTAGGGAAAAAAGTGGTGACTCCCGCTTCGGCTCGTTTCTGGTGCAAAGAATGTCCGTTGCAATTCAGCGAGGCAATGCTGCCAGTATCATGGGCACCTTTGCACCGGGAGCGACGCGGGGCGGGTTATATGATCTGACTTAAAAAAAAAAATATAATTGTAACTTAAATGTATGTATTTTAAATAAATTAAAATAATATAAAACACATTCAAATTTATGAAAATAATTAACCTTATGTTTTGCTTGAGGTAATTGACTTACTACAAATAAAAACAATGTTTTGCGAAAAATACGTATTAAACAAATTATTCACAATTAAAGTATCCGGGAACCGAACAATTATAATTGTTCACTTATGAAACTGCTTTTGAACAACACTGTAGCTAAGTGCACCAACTAACTACATTGGGTTCTAACTACATATGCGTCAATAACGTGTTCATTTACTATCGTCACTTTTTTCATACTCTGAAATTTATGATCCTATAGGGCAGCTTAATTACAATATTACTATTATTTTTTTTACAGAATGCTAGTAAACAATAATAATAATATATTTATTGAAACCAAATACAAACGTTTATCTTCTATACTTTTCTCAACTTTACAAATTTGGGCTGTTGGGCGAGTGCGCGAGGCCCCTGCATGAGCTAGGCTCTGGGCGCTTGCCCAACCTTAAAGAGCCACCCCTGCCTAGCACACATAGAACTGATACTACTGGACCACTGTGTTACCAGCCTTTATTTTAGACTTAATATCCTTCTTAAAGACCTCTCATTGCATATTAACTTTCAATACATTCAGACGTATTTTACATAATTTCAAATGGTTACAGTGAAACATGGTACTTATAAAAACATAGAAGTATAATTTTTCATTTCTGATTTATTATCTTTTTATATCGTAATCATGTAATTAAACTTAGCCTGTGTTTGACCACATCCGCTAACACTGATTGAAGAAAATTGACTAAGGTGAATTTACACAACATCATAATTAGTATTCTTCGTTCTTGTTACGAGTTTAAGACCGAGTTTTTTTGTCTGTTTGTACAGTCATAGGTATGTACCTACTTAACCGTTATTTTTTTACAAGTGTTATTAAGAAAGACTTGATTTTGTCTAACTTGAAGTTTGTTTTAATAGATATATACATAATTATGTACCTATGTTTATCAAAAGAAACTTAAAATACAAATTTTAATGCTTAAATTGTTTAGAACCGTAACCGAAATATATTATTACAATGTGATGCACCCTATTTCTAATTTAGTCAAAAAATACGTCAGCTTTGTGTCTCATATTTAGGCACATGTGCTTGCTACTAATGCGTTACTAGTTTAAAGCGTTTGTAGTAGGCACTTTTGATGCTTACACAATGCTTTAAAATAAGACGTAGAGAAGAGTATAAAATCAGTATAAATAATAATATAAATAATAAGCACGGTTGATTACCTAATAGACTGAGACAAAGTTTATAATACTGATTGTCAAGCGAATACGCCTGAGTAAGCAAGTTCGACAAGCTCATTATCTAAAAAGATTTTGTAAGAAAAAAGTTTAATCAGTTATTACATTGACATTTTCACTTTTTTATCACTAATATAAAGGAAATTATTCCCTAATATTTAGTCTTCAGTAAGCTCTGCATGTCAAAACGGTTAAATATTACAAGCCACGGTATATTACAAGAAAACAAATTATATTTAGTTCCTTTATTGTGTTCTTAGCACTCACCAATGAACATCTCAGATATTAAAATCTGAGTTAAAAACGTTGGATGTCTTCCGTTCTCTAAGAGTGATGACTGTAGTAAACCTCAACTATAAGTATTTACAAATACTAGAAATAGCCTAGCTGTTAAATTTCGACCGTTAAGAACGTCTTAATTTATTTTCTTAGCCAGAAGACTTGAACTGTCATTGCATAGGCTTTTGTTAAATGACAGGCCAATAAAAATTAAAAATTAAAAAGTTTTTTTAAAATCTATTTTTTAAATGGGGTAAAAAATAATGTTCACGTAGATACTGGGAAATATATGTATGTTGTTTACCTCCTTTCTAAGTAGAGGCCTATGTCCAGCGAAAAGCTGTGCCCGGATCTCTCCTATTTAGGGCGCTCTATGGCACACCGTGTGGTTTTAGTCTCCGATTCCGAAACACCACCCTATCATAAACCCCGGAGAGTTGACAGCCCAAAGGGGGCCAAACGCTAAAAAAATAATGGAATTAATCCCTTGATTCTCTACTTTTGTGAAAGAGCCTCGATGTTGTAGCAAAATGATACCGACATACCGACCAGTCGCTTTGTCAAACATCTTTTGCTTATGGATTGACTCCAGCCTCACTTGGCAACCGCAGGTTGCGAACGTAAGTCAAAAAGTCACTGGAATCACTGTATCGGCGAAGCCACTTCCTTCCACATACTACCAAGTCAATGCTGGTACAGGCTTTGATCTTTCCAATCATTGATTATGGTGATGTATGCTACCTCGACCTGAATTCAGATCTACTCAACAAACTTGACCGACTTCTCAAAAATTGCATTTGATTCTTCTTCAACCTCCGCTAGTACGATTATTTATCTGCCTATCGATCCCAGCTGTCATGATTACCTATACCTCAACGCTGTAGCTTGCGGGCCTTGACTACCCCTTATTCTCTTCTCAATAATCCTACAGCTCCCACTTTTCTCACTTTACAGCTAACCGCTATGCTCCAACCATGACAGAGATCTTCGGTCCACTAATAATCTTTACTCCTGTGTCTAATTCATAGGTCTTCGATAAAAAGTAACATAAGATATAGCGTGTTGTTATCATCTGCGGTTAACTAGAGAACTCGAGGTTTTGCTGTCTCGGTAGTAGCAAGCAATGGTGAGCAACGAGCATAGGATACTACTAAGTTTGTTGTTTTCATTAAATAATTTTAGCTTTTAAATAAAGGAATTGTGTTTTATTAAACATATTAAAGAAATATAAAATATCAGTACGAAATAAAACTTTAGGAACACCAAAAGTAATCTAAGATATATTAGAGAGAGTACGTCAATGTAAAGGTTGAGAGAATGATTAAATTTCCTAATTTTAAGATCCTGACAGCTGGTAGTCATTGAAGCACTGAAACTAGAAGAAGATAAAATAAATACATTTGTTGTCGTTACTTACAGAAATCATAGTCCTTACATAGTTTTAACAAAAGTGTAAAATGTAATATAGTACTAAGCCTGTTAACAGTTTCTTTAAGGTAGATTTCTACTTCATACTAGAATAAAAGAGAAACCCGTGAATTATCTTAATGTTATCGTCCAACAATGTTCAGTATAGTAGGAACTCGTCTATCTTAACATCAGCTGCCTCAACAATGCTTTCAATATTAACTGGAACCTCTGCAAATCAATAAATTTTGCTATTAAACATTTGGCTTGTGTTTTAGGATAACTACTATATTCTAAACCTACCAGGAATTTTCATGGAGTTGGTCTTTGATGTTCAACTCAAAATTATCGTAAAATGCGCGAATAGAAAGGATCACATCTTGATAAAAAGCAGGGCTAAATTTTATTTAGTAAGTTCCTAACTCATGCACAAGCATTGCTACCTTGACCTTATAATAATGCTGTTTTCATTTATCGTCTCTGTACCCCGATGGCGACTATTATTCGTAACAATCGGGCCCAATGGATCAATGAACTCTCAAAGGCGCGACACGGAGGCTTTTTTTTTTAATAAAAATACTTACTCAAAGGAAGGTAGCTAGTTTTGTAGCCGCTGTCTTTTCGTGAATCATTTATAGCATCTCTCATTGATTCAACCACAGCATAAGCTAAACAACACGGTGGTTCACCTGTAGCTGTAAAGTAAATAGTATAATATGAATCGGAATTATAATTATATACATTTTATGGATATGCCTATTATCTGACTAGGTGAGGTACCCCTTACTAACTTTAATCAAGAGAAGGCTATTAAGTGAGGTTGATGGATATAAATAATATAAAAATAATACAATATTTGCAACCGTTAGGTGGAATGTACGACGAAAACTAATTTATTTGTCTCTAGTCAAATATTGACTCAGGCACAACAAACCTTAACAATATATTACTATCGTCCTGATACTAATATACTACACATACCCGATAAGAGATCTTAGAAAATACTTTCAAATAAATAGTGTGTCGAGTAAGTGAAAATATATATCATCATCGTCATCATCATCATCAACAGCCTCTAATAGTCCACTGCTGGACATAGGCCTCTCCTAACAATAGAGGTTTTGGCCTACTATACCACGCTGGCCAGACGGGTTGGTATAGGGTTTGTTTCAAGTTGTTCTTCTTTTTGAAGTGCTGTTGTTTTGCACAGTTTGCTCCCTTTGTCGGCTCTTACGATACCCACGGGTCAAATAGGGGTGGTGACACTCTGTATTCTTATATATATGTATAAAATATATACATATGTGTATTATATTAATATTTTGTAATGTTGAATAAAATATACCTTTAGACCCCAAAATACCAACAGGATTTGGTCGTTTTCGTCTGAAGAACACTCGGAAATCGTTAGGGATGTCTTTAGCCCCCATTATTTTATAAGTCCAAGTCCGATCCGTATATATTTCTCCAGTGTTTTCGTTAAAGTCATGTTTTTCCATTGTCCACAGAGACAAAGACTGCACAAATGCTCCTTCCACCTTGTTTAAAATAAATAAATACAGAAGTTAAAATTAAGTTATTTGAGATGTTGACAATGGCAATTTTAATCTCATTCATAAAATTAATTGCTGTTCGTTAGTCTTATTAAAACTCAGGAAATGCTGAACCAATTTAGCTAACTTTGATCTTGAAATATTGGAAGAAGTCCAGAGAAAGATTAAGCGGAAGAAAAGCACGAAAAATAGTAAAAGCAAATTTTATTTTCCCATGCAAAATGTTAGTGATTCACTAAATAATGGTATAAAAGAAGGCGGCGGAGCGAAGTCAATGTCAAATCGGCTAGGATACCTTGTTCTGAATCTAATTGTGAAGACTTATGGATAAGCGTTGATGTCACTATACGTATCCGTACTATTCAACACTATTGAAGCTTGACTATCTCAATGCCTTTTTACATGCTGTGACGGCGGCAATGCAGTGGGACAATGAGGTTCTTATTGCAGGAGATTTTAACATGAGCTCCGTTTTTTGGTCACAAGGGGAGAATGTGTAACAATGCATTTATAGATTTCTTTAATATGAATAATTTATTACAATTAAATCATATTTTAAATTCGACTAATAAAATTTTAGATTTGGTTCTCCCTACTTTAACAACACTTTCTGTCCCGGCACCGTTGGATTCGTTGTCTAAAATTTATAATTATCATCCTAACTTACTGATATCAATCCCTAGCCAGTTACAAAATAGCCTTCCATAGCAGAGCAGGTTATAATTTTTTAAAGACTAATTTGACAAATTTAAAAAAAGACTCGCTTTAATTAATTGGCGAAATATGCAGAAAACTAATGTTAATATCAACGAGGCTATTTCTAAATTTTATAAAAGATTTAATGAAATCAAACTACATGTACCAACGCGTAACACTAAAACTTAGGAAAGAATAAGCATCCACAATGGTTTAGTCAACCACTCATTAAATTGGTTTAGGAAAAAGAAAACATCAGAACTAGAATATCGTAAATACAAGAAGCCGCGATATGAAATTGAATTCTGTATTCTTCGGAAACGTTGTCATAGGTTGTGTGTTAAATGTTATAATAATTAAATGGAAAATAGTGAGAATAACATAGCTTCAGATATCAGCAAATTTTATAACTATATTAAATAAAAAATCGCAACAAACGTAGATTTTCAGATGTTATGAATTTAGACGATGTGTCAGGTACAAGCGGTCAAGATATATGCAATTTGTTTGCGAATCATTTTTCATCAGTTTAAAACAATTAAGAATAAAAAGATTAAAAAAATTAATTATTAAGAACAAGCTAACGTAGACATGGGAAGTAACTTTGACAGAGCTTAAATTCTGTTTCCATTTAGCAAAATAATCCTTGAGGAGGAAAAAGTGCTTGATAAATTAAAGCATCTTGATTTTTCAAAAAGTCCCGGGCCTGATGGGCCCTAACTATTTTCGTTAAAACCTGTGCCAATGAACTGTCTGCACCGTTTACTATTCTCTTGTGATAAGTCTAATATTGGTAACTTTAGACCGGTTTCGATAATATATTGTTTTGTAAAGATTTTTTAATCTTTAATATGCACTGTTTTGAGTAGTCATATACACCAATATATTACAGCAAAACCACATAGGTTTATGAGGTAGGTCACTAATTTAGTCTCTTTTTTAGATTTTGTGAAAGGGTAGAAAAAGTATCTCAGGTAGATGTAATATATATCGATTTCTCAAGCGCCTTTGAATAAGTATATCATTACATTCATTTATTACTTCAGAAATTGTATCTGTATGGTGTAGACGGTTTTTTGTACAGGTGGTTTGACTCGTATATTATGGGTAGACCACAAAATGTAGTGGTAAATAGGTTTACATCTAATACCTATTATTCTCTCTTAGGTGAGCCTCAGGGATCGCTATTGGGTCCTAAGCTCTGACATATATTAGGTCCTTACATATGAAATTAGCATTTTGTCGTACTGATCACTTTGATCTGAAATATCTCCTCTTTGGTTAAGAATTCAAAATTCAAATTTATAAATTCATTTAGCTGCTACATTTAAGTTTAAAAAAAAGGAATTAAAAGTGTAATGACTTTTTGACATTAAAAAAAGTAATGAAAAGTGGATACTGTACGTTAATCGGAAGCGCTCTTCGCAATGGCTGAACCCTGGAGACCCACCCAAATCCTGCCCTAAACGAAAAGTGACTCAGAAAAAGTTACTTGTGAATGTTTGGTGTACTAGCGCTGGTGTCGTTCACTACAGCTTTCTAAAATCTGGCCCAACGATTACGGCAGATACAGCATGAAGAAAGAACTAGCTGCTTACCAACCGACATATGTCCATCGCTCTAGGCCACTGTTGCTTCACGACAACGCAAGACCACACACTGCACAACAAATAACCACTAAGTTAGATGAACTTCAATTGGAATGTCTGCGACATTCACCAGACTTGCCGGAACTTGCTCCAACAGATTACCGTTTTTTTCCGGAATTTGGACAACTTCTTACAAGGAAAAAAAATCACTACCCCATGTTTTTTTAGTAAAGGGATCAATGAACTACCTATAAGATGACAAAAGTCCATAAATAACAACGGTGCATACTTTGATTAGTTAAATATATTTTACAAAAAAAATGACTTTATATTCCACCCGTACAAAACGCATATTTCATATGTAAGGACCTAATATTTCTCAACAACAATGTCAATTTTATACGTTACCGTCATTGTTCTGTTAATGCCGATGATTCGAAATAGATTGAAATGAATTGGTTTGAAAAGAAATATTTATTTATTTCAAACTTTATGCACTTTTGTACATCGGCGGATTTATTGCCCTAAGCATTCTCTTCCAGTCAACCTTGTGGTGGTGTAGAAATCATACAAGGTAGGTGCACAGAGGTTACACTTTATGACCTTTAATCTATGAAAAAATACACTGTTCACTACATACATATACATATATGTACATATACGACACGTCATATCATAAATATACACATATAAATATCTTTCTAAATATACATATTATATTCGTTCACTATGTATACCGGAATATAAGGTGTAATATGACCTGGGTAGTTTTGCCATTTTATTAAGAAGGAGATCATGCACCTTCTTTTTGAATGCAAAACGGTTAGTGAACATCCTGATTTCCTGATTAATCAAATACTCAATATTAGTATGGTGTCGAAATATCAATATGTATCTTAATCCATCTAAATGCTTTCTTATTAAATTTACCCGTTAAAAGCAGTTCATTTACTCAGCAGAAGAAGAAGTATCAACGATCTTGATAAGAATTTAAATTTCATTCTCTCTCAATCTCATAAAGATAATATAACTACTAAAGCAGCTAAGATGGTGGGATCATTAAAAGAAATACAAAACAGTTTAAGAAAGTAAGAACCAGTCTCATTTTGTACAAAAGTCTCGTAAGAAGTGTATTAGAATTTTCTAGTATCACTCGGAATTCTCAATACTCGAATCATTCGCAACGTATGGAATCCATTCAGAAATATTTTATCCTGGCAGCTTATGTACGAAGAGCTCCTTATATAGTCCTATTAAAAGATTATAAGTTAGACACACTTAGCAAACGACGTAAAATATAAATTATCTACGTAGAATAATAAATGGAAAAATAACTACTCGTATCTCCGAATCGTTAAGAATAATAAAATTAAAGGTACTATTGCGACCTACACCATTTCGACATCCCATTATCAATGTTTGTTTTGCCCAGATGTCGTGCTAATCTTTGAATAAATTCGCCAATTGTAAGAATGTGCATCGCGAGGAATTTTGGCAATCTGGATATAAGTATTTTGTGAGAAACAAGCACATTTTAAAAGTGTCTTAAATAAATGTATTGTATAAATATTAGTAAATGAATATAAATTAGAGTATAACATTGAATAAATTGTCCTTAGCACCTTAAGTAAACATGCGCTTAAAGAATTTGGTTAAATGTTAAAAAAGTTGGTTAAAAGTTATCAATCATAGAAATTATAAAAATTGAACGGCAGAAGCTGAGGAGACATATTATTTTTGTATGTACTAAATCAAAACATTACGAATATTAGTTCTTAGGACGTTATTGTACAATTCATTGTTGTTGTTCCTTAAAAATTAAAGGACCTAATCCTTTAATTTTCCACTTTGATCTCCGGCCGTCCACGGGGGGGGGGGGGGGGGTCTGAAGGTCGAAATTTCCAGAACGAAAATGTTGAAACCAAAACGTACCGTGCTTTCTTTTGCGACACCAGCGCCGTACACATCATTAATCCTTTGAGCGGTTTCTGCAGCACCCGATATTGAATGTACCAGCTCAATGAATTTATAAATTTGAATTTGGATTGGAAAATTCTTAACCAAAGAGGAGACAAAACGCTAATTTCATATGTAAGGACCTAATATAAAAACCGAAAGAAATGGATTTCTGGCGCCTGTAATGTTTTTCTTGAAATTCAAAAGGAAAGTGATCTACGCTATATCTTATACTTTTTTCGATATTTTAAGTTGACTGTCATTTTTAATTGTCTGAAGGATTTTATTAAAAAATATATTATCTTTTATATTAATAACTTAGCATTTTTTGAAAAATATTGGAAACAGTTAGTGAAAGGTTTCTGTAAAAATATTTCAAATAGAGCTTGCTCAATGGCTCTATATTTATATATGTTTACAAATATAAGTTAAATATTAGTAAGTACCTGACCAACATCTATTGCTGGATTCATGCTACGTCCAACATCTTCAAGTATGTCAGCTCGAACAATCCATTTGCTCCCAGTCAAAATATCAACCTCAACCTCGGTTACAGCAACCCCAAATATCGAATAATTAATTAAACGTGGATCATTTGGACTCGTCAGATAATTTGCTTGCAGTAACACACCTTGCCTATCAGCTTCAAATACTATTTCCCGCCATGACGCCGTTGGCATACTCGCTCTGAACGGTGCCAACCGTGCATTGATTTGATCACAGCATCGTAACACAGCATAAGCACAGCATTCACTTGATATACTAGATGCTGTTGCGAAGTTATTTGGAGTAGCAAAGTTATAGCATGGTGCGATAGATACAGTTTCAACTGGAACCTGAAATTGAGCAGCTGCCACTTGCGCAACCTTAGTAAATATACCTTGTCCGATTTCAACTCCTCCACAGTTGATAATAACACTTCCATCGCCATGGTACACGCTTACTAGAGCCAAATAGTTACCAAGATATGCGGTCGGAAAAGCCATATTGTTTAATCGTATTCCTCGTTTCTTCCACCTATTAATTTTATTAAAATCCTTCACATGGTCTTGTCTCTCTTTATAATTAATTCTTTCCAAAAACATGGGTACTAAAGAGGGCAAATCATTATCTTCCTGTCTATAATTGGCCATGCGTACCTTTAATGGATCTAGATCTAACTCCGCTGCTATATGATCCATTATATGTTCAATTCCGGATATACCTTCCAATCCCCCTGAAATCAAGTTTTGACATATTTGTAGCTACAGTACACATATTTAATTTAAGGGAAAATTTAAACTAATTAATTCAGTTTGAAGTCACACGTTACAGATAAAGGAAGAGATAAAGATAATAAGAAATAGAGATAAAGATAAAGGAGAATTATATTGAATTTTTGATTTTTTATTGTGCTAGTATAAAGTTAACATGGACCAGTGTAACTTATTGTGTATCAGGCTTGGCAATGACTACAAACAGACTAGAATTGACTATTGCTATTATAATGTTACCCGTTATATTGAGGGTAATAACTATAACTCTACTCGGGGGTTGTGCGGTCCATGGCCCTTTATGTGGCCCCAGTATGGGCCTGCAACGTCGCATTACTGCGACGACCGCAGCGAGTGGTGACCATCAGGGTCATAAGGTGGTAAGATTGTTTCGGAGATCGCCTGTGTCTGATCCGCACGAAGCCAACGCCTGCCATCACTGCGATGGCCGGACCATGGACACGGCCCTCCACACGTTGCCAGAATGCCCAGCGTGGGTGGAGCAGAGGCGTGACCTCGTGGTGGCCATCGGAATGGGAGTCCTCGCGCTCGGTAGTATGATTGCGGCCATGGTATGGAGCGAGAGTGCGTGGAACTCCGTCGTCTACTTCTGCGAGCAAGTTATGCTTGCAAAGGAGATGGCGGAGCGGGACCGGGTGAGGTTTAGAACTCTCCCAGCCCGCCAGGCCTGGGAACGGGTCAGGTAACGCAGATGACTCGGGCGCCAGAGATCGCAAAACGACCTCTGTCCTCCATAAGCGCAGGGCTGGGGATGACAGGTAAGGCCATCTGCTTTTTATAGATTTTCAGGTTGTATCATCAACAGCCTTTAATAGTCCACTGCTGGACATAGACCTCTCCTTAGAAGAGGATCGTGACCTACTATACCACGCTGGCCAGACGGGTTGGTACAGGGTTTGTGTCAAGTTAGTTTGGCCAGCCGCGAGGGGGCGGCGTCCGCGTGTGCCGGACGTCGCCTAAAGAGAGGAAAATTTTGAGACGGAGCCCGCACCAGGAGCGGGCTGGCGCTAGGAGGGGTCCGGATGTCTTAATAACAGCTGTTCCCGGATCCCTCCTGTTACGGGCGCAGAGTGGCACACCGTGTGGTTTTAGTCGGTCCGAGTCCGACACACCACCCTGCCGCAAACCCCGGTGGGGTGACGGTACGAGGGGATTTCCACACGTTAAAAAAAAAAAAAAAGGGTTTGTGTCAAGTTTTCCTTCTTGCAGTACTGGTATCCTGCGTTGTTTTTGCGCCCTTAGTCGGCTCTTACGACTCCCACGGGATGAATCGGGGTAGTGACATTCCGTATTCTTAATCCGTCACTACACGGACTTCAGTATCAGTATCAGTTTGTGTATTATTTTGATATCATGTTTTAATGAAAGCTATAGATGTTTCTTTTTAGTTCTGTGATCATTGCCCACGAATACGCACGCAATGGGGCCAGAAGGACGAATCAGTGATGATGATGATGATGAACCTCACTGACTCGGTGAAAAGCAACAAGAAAATTACTTATGGAGCCGTGGTATTCCACTGGAATACCATGGCTACCACCCATATGCGCAAGAGCATGGTTCTTCCACGGATATATTTTTAGAGATTTCTCGTCATTTGAGGTCAGTTGCTCACTTAGTATTTAAGTAACCCAAATTCATTCATTTTCGTACTTAAGTTGATGTTGCAGTCACCTGTTTACGTAAATATTCTTTCTATAATAAGAACATTAAGCTAAACTACACCTCTGTATGGAACTTACCTGGAGCCCTCATGACTGCATTAGTTGGTGCATCTGTAAGCACTCCGAAAGAGTCTACTTTCCATCTTCTAGGATTGTAACAATTTTTAAGGGACTCAGTGGCGTAAAGATTCTCATTTTCATTACTAGAATGTCCGTCGTTTATGTAAAACACAGCATTCATATATTGAATTTCACCTCTATCGTCGACTCCAACCTTTAAGCAACGAATAAAAATTTACTAGAAGCCGTTGGTTTTATGTCTGAAGTATATTGTAATAAGTAACATAAACTATTTATTACAGTGTGAAATATAAAATATATTAACCTCGTAGTCAAGTTTGGTGTTCGGCCTTTTTCCTGTAGCCCGCATTATACTTGGCATTGACATTGACATTCTACATGGTCTATTAAGGATTTTCGCAACTAAAGCTGTGGCGCATGCAGCGAAATTCGATCTACTAATTTTGCATCCAAATCCACCTCCACAACGTCGTGTTTTTACAGTGATCCTGTTATAAAAAACAAATATTCTGAATTTTTTTTCTCATATATCTTATATTAAGAAATTATTATTTCACTTACAAACTTTCAGGCATTTTAAGTAATTGAGCTGTAACTGCTTGCACTATGTCTATGAATTGGGTTGATGAGGTCATTTCAAACCCTTCATCAACAGGTTTCGTAACACATGTATGCAATTCCATCATATTGTGATATTGAAGAGGGTTAATAAATTTTCCTGTGATTATTCGTCTAATATTAGCTCCCCTTTCCACGGGTGTAATACCGTCGTAACGTACAAGCCTGTTTTCTTCTTTAGGCGCATTTATAGCATCTTCTATAGTGAATACAATTGGCTTTTTTGGTATATTCTTATACTTCACTTTGACCAAACAGGCTGTTCTATCAGCTAAAGCTTGAGATACTGCCACTATAATAGCTACTGGCTGATTGTAAAAAGTTACTTTCTCACTAGCCAAAAGTTCTTCATTTTCATACATAAGTAGAAAGTCGGGTCGAATAATACTGTTTACACCAGGGATATCAGCAGAAGTGAGCACAGCTACAACGCCGTCTATTTTCTATGAAAAAGTGTACATCCATTATGAAAAATACCATCACCATAATATTCTAATTGAATCGTACAATTAATACATACCAATACTTCGCTACTATCAATACTTTCTATATCTCCCTTAGCCACGGTAGAAAGAACAAAGGCGGCAAACAACTCATCTTTAATAGTGGGAATGTCATCATTGTAGACAGCTTCACCAGCACACTGAATCATTCCTTCTTTTTTCAATAGTGGTTGTGTTATTGGATAATCGTTTTTATCCGTGTCGTATTCTTGATAGCTTCGACTTATTTGAGGTCGATCGTCAGTAGGCGTGGTAGCGCCAGTTTTATAACATAGCTTTAAAATATCTTTTGGGCAAATTTTTATCACGCTCTGTAAACATTTTTGATTAGAAGTACAAACTGTTAAAACTGAAATTAGTTAGTTTTCATTATTCTGTATTTTATGGTGTAGTAAAATTAATTAAAATGTTTTCTTTATGGCATAAACAACGAGTGGACGGGTCACCTAATGATAAGTGGCTACCCCCGCCTATATTACGTTATGAAAGTTACTGTTTTAATTCGTTTGTTTCAGAATATGCTCAACATTTTATTACCTTGTAAAACAGGCCCAAAGCCACCTTTTTTCTCACGTGAGGTGGCGAGTAAGGTGGGCGGTAATCGGGATTAATTTCTTTTTCCAGAACATGTAAAGCCGATTGTAAGGTATCATTATCAAATACATTTCGACCGATCAAAAACTTCTCTGTGTTGTAAGCATGGGTGAATGATGGATTAATATTACCATACACAATAGACGCTTCTTCAATAAGATGTGTGTTGGGGTTAAATTTCAAAAGAAATCCTGAATTTACTTCAGCCTGAGCATTTTGTTCTCTCACTTTTATCTGAAAGCAATTTTTATCCAAGGTGGTTGTTATTTCATACACATTCCTTAGATAATTATAAAATTAAATAATTATTAACTCACTTTGTAAGTTACTAGCTCATAATGCTTGGATAACGGTGGTAGTTTAATCTGAGTCATCAATCTTCCTGTAAGATTCGTGGTTAAAAATGTTGGTAAATCCATCTCTATTTTAGTCATATTGCGGTCAACTAAAATAAAAATACCTTATATTGAATTCGGAATACTGAATCATGACAATGTGGAAAACTAATGAAATCATCAATTAAAATTATACAGTACTTATCAGAAACGTAATATAAACGTATGTATGGAAATTTACCTAGAGTTACAGTGGCACCCATACAGTCCAATAATAAAAATATATCCGATTGAAAACAGGGATCTGAATTTTTTAAAGCCAGATTACCTGCAAGAGTTCCAATCTGAGAAAAGTACATTTAGAATAATTATTATTTCATATACACAATAATCGAACAAGAAGCCTTATACTTATTTTACTTACATTTCTTACAGGTATATGAGCGGTTTCGTCTAGATGTTTATACAATATATCTAAATACCAAAAATATTCATCGGATTTGGCGACTTCTTTAAATAAATTCATTGTGTCAGTTAAAGTCATGTTTGCTCCGAGAACCAGATTGACGTCAAAGTAATGTGTGGTCAATTCCTTTATATTGCTTATATCTATCAGAACTTTCGGGTAGGACAAGATTGGACGTACTCCTAAAATTTGATCAAAGATCATTTTTACAATAATAGGTGAAAGGGCTATCTTACTACAGGCAGACCAGGCCCTCTTCGCAGTTTAGGTATGAAGCTACAAGTAATGGCCGCGGCCTGTGGTAGTAACCACAGGCCGCGGCCATTACTTGTAGCTGTAAGTGTAACACAGTACAGAAGACTGTGTTACACTTACTTAGTAAAGTAAGCGTAACACAGTCTCCTGTACTGTGGCCTATTGAGTTTACTTAACTATAGTTAAATAGATGCTTTCACTATTTCAGTCGCGTGCTTAAGTAATAACAAGAATCTGAAATTCATGCTTTTCAAACTTTTTTTCAAACGTTTTTCAAACTTGATGAAGACATTAAAAGGTTAAATGCAACATAACATCGAGTTAACACGTTAACATATAAGAGTTACGGGATACAAAGACTAATTCTATGCGAGTATACCTTGATGCATACCTTTTGCAGTATTGCCGGCTACCAACATGTACGATTCATAACCAACTTCATTTAAAGTAGTAAAAATCGACCTTATATCACCAACGGAGTACCAAAGTCTTCCATCCGCTAACGATATTTTCTTTGGTAAATTCAAAGCACTCGTAGTATCTATATTTACCAAACACCAGTTTTCGCTCGTCTCACAAGTACCGCCACACGTTTTACCCGATTTGGGACATATTTGCTGAGATATATCTTCAATATCTTTTATCTTACTCAATATATTCGCGTTTGGATGGACGGCAAAAGATTTGAATGCTTCTAAAATGGGGCGGTAGCCAGTACATCGACAAAGGTTGCTGCCTAAAGAGTTTTCTATTTCTGCCTCAGTTAGATGGCGATCGCTTCCTTTTATAAGGCTGAAATAATATACAAGTTATTATCAAGGATACTTAAATAACCTATTCTGAGCACTTCTTTAAATATCGCGTAAATGACAGGTTTCTTAATTGCTCATAACAATCGTCAGTTAATAAGATACTATTAATTGATTGTATCAGTTAGGGAAAGAATGAAAATTTAATGATACGTTATAAACTTAAATGTCTTCAATATTACCTGTACATGCTCATTACGAAGCCAGGGCTGCAATACCCACACTGTGAGCCAAAGTAATGATTGAGACGTTTTTGAATGATATTGTAACCTTTTTTTCTATTACCGATGCCTTCAATCGTTTTTATATCCCAACCATCGCATGACATTACTAAGACAAGGCACTAGAAAATTATGAAAACTTTAATCTGCTGCTAAATGATATGATTAAAAATTAAATTGTACAAATGAAGATTGTTTTTAGAGATCAGGTTTTAAAAAGCGAATTAATTATAAACTTTCAACATATTACTATAATGTCGATCATTGTCTCGGAGTGCAAATAGGGCTGCAAATTAAGCGAATGTGGGTGATACTTAACAGTTAAAACTCAAATTATTTTAATATCAGCGTGTGAAAGGGCAGATGAGAATCGTTCAAGAGGTCGTAGCTCTTTATAGACATAAATTCAAATAATAATATTGAATGTAAGTAGGGGTGTTATACATATTTTTATATTCGGAAACTGTTATAAACTGAAAGTGACTGATTTATATCATTAGATAACTTTAATATGGAAACGTAATATGGTGATTTAGATTTTATTAACTTATCTGTGTTAGTCTCCCAAACATATATATATTTATTTACGTATAATATTTTTGTTATATAAGGGGAGGCCTATGTCCAGCAGTGGACTAGTATGTTGATGATGATGATGATAGAAGTAGACTAAGAGATTAAAATAACTAAAATAATCTAGAACTACATGTGCGTTAGATTATATAACTACTTACATGGTAACCTAGAGACTAAGGGATCTATAATTATGTTTCACAAAAAATTGTATAAAATTCTGAATGTTAAAATTAAAACAGTATTAATAAATATTTAGCAGATAAATTAATAGTAAAGGCTGACCGATAAAACTACTCTTTCAATATTTTGGCAGTAAAATCGATAACTAAAAAGGGTTTCAATGCTATCATCATCAGATCATCATCAACAGCCATAATCCACTGGTGGATTATACTACGCTGTCCAGACGGGTTGGTATTGGGTTAGGGTCAAGATTTCCTTCTCTTTTTGTCTTCCCTTTTTTCTTTTTTTTTTTTTAAAGAAACAAAGCAAAGTGATGTTGTCCTGCGTAGTTTGCTCCCTTAGTCGGCTCTTGCGATACCCACGAAATGAATAGTAGTGGTGTCACTCGGTATTTTTAATCCGTCACCACACAAATGATCTCTACTATATCAGCAGTAAAATGAATACAGCATTTAAATTCATATTTTTTAATCACTAAGCGTTACTTACAGAATTAACTGAGAATGTGCATATCTCCTTAGTGATAGGTGATATCGCTTGAACGGTGACCACACATGCCCCGCAACCTCCTTCCCGACACATGTATTTAGTGCCCCGTAACTCAGCATATCGGCGAATGAACTCATTTAATGTGAGATCGGCTGAGAACTCGGCACCAGCTAAAACAACAAGAAATTTAATTAATTATAGATTTTTATGTTTATAAAAAGACAACAATATCAAAAATTTATACATATCTACTTTATAACAAAAGGGTTTCATCATCATCACATCATCATCAACAGCCTTTAATAATCCACTGATGGACTATACCACGCTCGCCAGACGGGTTGGCATTGGGTTTGTGACAAGTTTTCTTTCTCATTTTCATGAAGACTGTTGCAGCTGCCGCGCTTTATTCTGCCATGCTTATCAAGCGCCTATTTGGCTTGAAACTAGAAGAGACTTCAAACAGACTAGAAGGGACTATTGCTATTATAATGTTACCTGTTATATTGAGGGTACTTATTATAGTTATTTTACTTAGATTAGTTCTTATTTTAAAAAATTTAGTGCTCTTTGTCACTATTGTTTAAAGTCGGTTCAACTCTTTTTTAAGGATTTATTTTACCATTTTAAGTGTAAGATATAATTATCATGAGTAGATAAGTATGATATTTAAAACAGTACGTACCGTAATGTATAGTACCAAACTGAAGTATGTTAGATTATATTAAATATAGTTTAATAAATAAATACTTTATTTAAATAAGGTAGTAAGAGGTTCATTTGAACCCGAAACTATATTGTTTTCCACACTAACTAGGAGTGGTATTTACCACTACCACAGTGGTAAATACCACTCCTAGTTAAAATACCACTTCATTATCAAATACCATTCCATTCAAGTGTGACGAAAAAATTTTCGTCACACTTGAATGGAACTAAAGGAAAAATATACCCTTCCAAATATAAAAACAATTTTCATAAATCGTATATTTCATATTTTTTTTCTTTTATTATTTAAGAGTTTTTATCCTTTCGGATATGACAACCCCATTGTAACAATTTTAACTTACATTTAATAACATAATTATATATACAATCTTAAGCTTACATCATAGAGGAGTCATTGCGGGCTTAGTCATGTGACAGAGTATCTTTGCTCCATTAGATGTAGGTGCAGACAGAATCATTTGGGGGATTCCTATGACACATGGGATTAGCTCCTATACCTCCATGAGAATTTCCCTATCCCTACGGTTTTTGACACATTCCATCAGAATATGTTGTACATCTTCCTCTACCCCACACACATTACAATTTGGAGAATCAATTTTGTTCATTAAATATGCAAATTTGTTTGATAGAATGTGCCCTGATCTTAATCTTAATATTAACTTAACTAAATCTCTATAAAAATTACATCCTGTAAACCATGGTGTACGAAGTGGCACAGATTGGATAGACTTATACCAAATTCCTTTGTCCCTAGATATTTTATTGAAACGCTCTTTCCATTTGTAAAAGGTAAGTGTATTGAATTTGTGTAATATTGCCTCATAATCTGGAGGTACATTAAGTATCGTAAAGTTTTGAGGTAAAAAACAAACATTTTTTTTGTCTAAATGTTTTATAATCTCATATATTACTCTTTTGTGACCATATCTCTGTATCCCAACACAAACAGCTAACAAATATCTTGTGAGAAAAAACAACGTCAATAATCACAAACAACTCATAAAGGTCAAGGACCCTTACCTCATTTCTCTCGATTTCTCTAGGATCCCATCATCAAATCCTGATTAAAGGAGCACCTCGGAAGCATACCTTTTTGATTACAAGAATTTTGAAAATCGGTCAACAATTGACGGAGATATGGCAATTATACAATAAATAAAAAAAATACAGCTGAATTGATAACCTCCTCTTTTGTGCTTTTGAAGTCGGTTAAAAGGAAGATACTGACAGACTGATTCACTGGCTGATAGATCAACGCACAGCTGAAGCCGCTGGGTCTAGAAGCATGAAATTTTACAAAAATGTTTCTTAGCTGAAGTACGTGGGCACTAAGAAAGGGTTTCCTTAAATTCCTTTCCTAAGGGTACAAAATGGGGGTTGGAAATTTATATGAAATTTCGTTATTTTGGTAGCAGCGTTTTCAAATTCACACGAAATACTCTTTCTTAAAAGACTTAATGACAAAAGATACAAATCTTGCTTCATTGTATCCCCTACGATGTCTCGTGTTCTGATGATGATAATAAAAAAAAATACTGACACATTGACACACACAAATGTGTCAGTAAAAAAGCAACAATTATGACGTCTTTCAAAATTACAATTAAACTATAGGATATATCTAAGTAATTATCTTCTGTAGACTATCCAACATGGTTGCAGATTTCTGTCTGCAGGCGTTGTGATTGCTTTACCATACCTTCACCAATTCTTCACGGATGGCGTAGTCGTTTAAGTAGTCGCCACGCCGCCCTCTACTAACTCAAAAAATGTTGTTCTGAGTCTGGATGACTTTGTGTCCGTTTTATGTATGTTTGTAAAGTTCTCCGCTACACAGGATATATTCCTAATGCGGGAGTTGACTTTTTAAAAAGAAAAGAAAGAACTTCAATACCAATACATTTGGACCAGGTTACAATGGTCGTGGTCACAGGAAATTAAAAGGTAAGTAATTGTTACTATAATATCTATAACGTAACAATTATTTCCCTACATCTTACGATAACGTACGTCTAGAACTTTTAGTAACCGAAGAAAGGAACGACTCTACCCAATTTTTATTATTGACTTGTTTCTAAGTTATTCTTCGACTCAATTTGATCAAACCCCCTCAGGGACCAGCGTGGACTTGACGACAACAATTCGTAACATAAATAAGGTGACAAACAAAAAATATTGTTTAATAGCCCACTGTTGGACGTAGGCCTCTCTTTAGGAAAGAGGTTTTGGCCTACTATACCACGCTGACCAGACGGGTTGGTATAGGGTTTGCTTCAAGATCTGTCGGACGCCCAATTCGGTTTTCGGGCGGGGCGTTCAACAGTCGACGCTGTTTTGCGCCTGAGGGCCGTGACCGAAGAGGCCGTGAGCTGTGGCGGCGTGCTGTTGGTGCTGTCATTAGACATCGCCAACGCATTCAATAGTCTGCCATTCAGCTGCATCAGGGAAGCACTCCACTATCATGGGGTGCCAAAGTAGCCTGAGGCGGCTAGTGGCAGACTATTTAGAGGAGCGTACCGTCGTGTACGAGGACCGATATGGTAATTTGAGGTGTCGGCCCATGTCGTGCGGTGTTCCACAGGGGTCTGTTCTTGGACCCCTCTTGTGGAACATAGGATACGACTGGGCCCTTCGAGCCGATTTCCCCCCCGGGCTGGGTGCAATTTGTTACGCAGACGATACTCTGGTTACAGCCCGGGGGGGGCGAACTTCCAAGAGGTGGCGCGCCTGGCCACAAGGGGAGTCTCCCTGGTGGTCGGGCGCATTGAGGCGCTGGGCTTACGGGTGGCCCTAGATAAGACGGAGGCTCTCTTATTTCATGGGCCCCGTCGCGGTCCACCCCCTGGCGCCTCAATCGAGGTCAACTCGGTCCTCGTACTGGTTCGGGCCCAGATGAAATATCTGGGCCTGATCCTCGACGGGAGGTGGCTCTTCGACGAGCCCTTCCGACAGCTTGCTCCAAAGCTGGTCGGCGCTGCGTCTGCCCTAGGGCGACTTTTGCCCAATTTGGGTGGACCCAGCGTCGCGACAAGACGGCTGTACACGGGGGTTGTCCGGTCAATGGCACTATACGGTGCACCGGTGTGGGCGGCGGCTCTGACCGCCCAGAATAGGGCACGCCTCTGGCGCCCTCAGAGGGTATTGGCGGTCAGAGCCATACGCGGTTACCGCACCGTTTCGACGGAGGTGGCTTGTGCGTTGGCCGGAACTCCCCCGTGGGATTTGGAGGCGGAAGTGCTCGCCGAAGTTTATCGGCGAGTGGCTGACTCCCGGGCGGAGAGCGGATTTCGCCCTCCGCCCGAAGACGTGCGCGAGTGGCGCGAAGCCGCTCGCAGAGCCACGATGGCTCGTTGGTCGATCCGGCTGGAGACTCCACGCGCTGGCTTCGCCGCCGTGGAGGCTCTCCAGCCGTTCATCGCCAAGTGGGCAGGGCGGTAGCACGGGACCCTTACCTTCCGGCTGACGCAGGTGCTTTCCGGGCACGGTTGCTTCGGAAAGTACCTGCACTCGGTCGCTAGGAAGGAACTGAGTCCCGCCTGCCACCACTGCGACTGCAGTGAGGACTCGGCCCAGCACACGCTGGCACAGCACCGCCTCATGCCGCCCTGAGTGTGGCCGCGGGTGGACGGGGTGGGTTTCCCCTCCACCCGCATTAGTTTGGCCAGCCGCGAGGGGGCGGCGTCCGCGTGTGCCGGACGTCGCCTAAAGAGAGGTAGATTTTGAGACGGGGCCCGCAACAGGAGCGGGCCGGCGCTAGGAGGGGTCCGGATGTCTTAATAACAGCTGTTCCCGGATCCCTCCTATTACAGGCGCAGAGTGGCACACCGTGTGGTTTTAGTCGGTCCGAGTCCGACACACCACCCTGCCGCAAACCCAGGTGGAGTGACGGTCCGAGGGGATTTCCACACGTTAAAAAAAAAAAGGGTTTGCTTCAAGTTTTCTTTCTCTTTGCAGTGCTGTTTTCCTGCGTAGTTAGTTCCCTTAGTCGGCTCTTACGACACCCACGGGATGAATAGGGGTAGTATAGATAGACACTCCGTATTCTTAATCCGTCACCAGACGGAAAAAAAAATACTAATACAAAAAGAATCGAGTTCAAATGAAGGTAAATCTTACAAATACTCATAAATTCTATTATTATTACGTATTTACTAACCGCTGTATTTTCTTCCATTAATTGTAAACTTTACGCGATCCATTTGTAATATTGTACAAATAAAATAAAACTCACGTACACTTTTGTGAACATAAAGCAATCTTACTCGTATATTTGCTTGATGTAATTGACTTAGCACAATTAAAACATTAAAATGGCGAAATATACATTTATAGCAAAGTATGAACACAATCAAAGTATCCGGGAACTGAATAATTATAATTGTTTACTTCGCGGATACTAACGTTCATAACAATTAATACTTATTATGAACATCAAGTTTGAACAAAAATCTTTGTAAACAAACCGGTTAATAACAACTAATGTGAAAATAATTAGTAGATACATGCTAAAGGTGGTATAAAAGGATTTAAATAATAACAAAAGGACTACATTCCTATTATCGACTTATAAGAAAGGAACCTTACTAATTACTGGTTCTATGGTGCCTATAATTATAACCAACCGCTTTTCAGATTACAAAATATTGTTATTTCAATAAAAACAGATTTGTATTACCTTATTAGTACCATACTCAACTATCATGGTTACGTCACCGAGATAGCCGTAGTGCTTACTATTATTTACTATTTACTCAATAACCCTACAGCCTCCTCTTATATCACTTTACAGCTGCAATTTCTACGCTCTAACTATGATAGAGATCCTCGGTCCACGCATAACCTTTTACCAGAAAATAGGGCAGTTCACACGTTTATTTGAGTTGCACGCAAGTTGTCACCATCAGGTGACCAATCAGCTCGCTTGCCCCCTATGCCACAAAAACAAATCAATCACGATGTATTTAAAAATATAGTGACCAATTTTCTGCTTTAATATATTCTAATCGAGCTTGTCCGTATTTGACTACATCCGCCAACACCAATAATAATAATTGAACATGTTTAACTTAAGCGAATTTATGTCTAATATTCTTGTATCGAGTTGGAAGGGACCTTTTGTGTCGATTCGTACTTTCATAGATACTTTTTTACAAGTATTTTTGAAAAGGATTTGATTTTGGTCTTACTTATTTGCTGTCTTGTTTGTTTCAGAAGGTATTTATCAAATTTGTAGATTTTTTTTAAAAGATAAACTTTATGTAAAACTTAAATGCAGTATTTTTACTAATTTAGTTAAAAATAAATCCGCTTTATTTCTTAAATGAAGGTACTGTGCTGCAAATGCGTTTAATTATAACGTATAATTATAATTTTTAAAATGGAATAGTAAAAAAGTAATATAATAACAATTAACACGGTTGACAATAGAGCGACAAAGAATTAAATCGCTGATTGTTAAGCGAATTTACCCAAGTAATTAAGCTCCACAAGTTAATGTTAATAATAGATTTAACTAAAATAACATTAATAAAAAATGTACAATAAATGTCAGGATAATTAAAAAAAAAAGAAACAAAATGATCGATGCTGTAACTAAGATAAAAGTAAAATATCATGTAATCTTTAATGTTAACTGAGCTCTTTATAAGGAAACGGTTTAATAACTTTATTTAAAGTCAAAGAATACTTCGTTGCTTTATTGTGTTCCTAGCACTCACCACCGAACATCTGAGTAACATTTATTAATCGAAACCTGAAATAAAAGCTCAAATATCCACCGTTCTTTGAGACTGATGACTGTAGTAAAACGTTAACTCTGAGTAGTTAAAAGTGTACTGCGGAATAAATGATGTTTAAAATTAAGAGATATTTATAAAAATACAAACGAGCTTGAAGCAGTAAATATGTGACATTTGACAATACCCACGCTCAAATAGAACGCGATGAATAAAATTAAATAGGATAGCGCTTTTTCGGCTTCTTTTCGGCTTCGGGAGTAATTTCTTCAAAAGGTGGGGAAGAAGCTTCCCCACCTTTGGCGGAATTACTCCCGAAAATAGGAAAGTGTTAAACGTTTACTTTATGATTAGGTCGAAACGTGTAGGTAAAGTATGGCTTGTTCCAACGAACTCCAACTCGGTCACAAAATGTGTCAGAATATAAAATTACCCGTCCGTTCAAAAAAGAACTTTGCAAGATCTCATCAAGAAGAAATCTTAAATAAAGAATTTATATGAATAAAATGTGGTACAAAAATATGCATAAGACTATGGACTATGACTACAGGACACATTCCGCCATAAAAAAGAATGGAAATATTTCGTTGAAAATAGTTGAATAAAACATAAGCAACGAGATACAATTTTAGTTTATTGTAATATAGAAGATTGAATGCATTTTTGTTTAATTTCTTCAATCAAACCTGTAATAGACGTTAACTAAAATTAAGATATTACCTAAATAAGATGGCAATACAACAAACAATCCCTGTCACCATGCAAATATTTGATTCAAACGAACGAACTCAAACGCAAAATATCTTTATTTCATAAAAAAATTAAAATTATTTAAAATCGTCTCTCGTGTAGACTGGAGTAATAGATCAATATACACAATAGCAACAATCTCTGTTTTGTCAAATATTAAGCATACTAAATATATACGTATCAAAAATCTCTTATATTTCTGTGCCGATCTACAACCGCCCATTTCTAAGGGGTTGAGCCTCGAGAGAAGAAAGGGCAAACAAACTCACGCCCACTCTTTTTTATTTAACTGATACATAGAATGGCATCATTAACTGTACACAACATTGTTTTGATGTGTGCCAGTACGGACTAAAAGTTGAAAAAGCAATGAATAGAAAAAAAGATACAGGCAAAAGATGGAATAAGAAAGAAAGTGAAGTAAAACATTAAAAAATGGAAAATTAATTAAAGGACACACTAGCCCACATCACTTTTTCACTACGAATCTATCACAATTGAGTAATAGGCTTCCTGACATAGTATACGTTTTATTGTGGATTTAAATTTGTTTACACTATAATTTTGTATACTATTTGGGATTTTATTATAGAATCGTACACATTGACCTCGAAATGACTTGTTTATTTTTTGGAGCCTAGAGACAAGTACAACAAGTTTATTTATATTTCAGGTATTTAAACCATGTACAGTACATTTATGAACATATATTACATTTTCATGTGTATATTGATTTGCCACTGTCATTATGTTTATTTCTTAAAAAAATTGGCTCAATGAACAACGATTGCCTAAATTATAAATTGCTCAAATCGCTCTCTTTTGCAGCACAAAAATAGTTTAAATGTCAGCAGCATTCCCCCACAGTAGAATACCGTACGAATACCATGAAAATCACTGAAGTAAACGAGTCGTGCTGTATCAATATCAGTCAATTCGCGAACTTTCCAAACTGCGTATGCTGCTAAGCTGAGTCTACTTGATAATTTATCTATATATGGGCCCACTGTAGCTTAGAACCTGATGTTATTCCTTAAAATGTCGTTGTATCCACAAGGTTTAGCTCGACATCATCACAGTGGTTTTCACTGGCTTGACGTTTGGTGTGGTGACCATATACACTTAGTTTGTTTTTATTCAAAGTCAAACTGTTAACGTCAAACCAGTGAACCACTTTCAAAATGACGCAGTTTATGTCTGTGAAATTAGTAAGTATGCATTTGAGTCTAAATAATAGTCATTTATCATCTGCAAACAACACAATCTGGTGATTGTCCTTGACAAGGTGAGGTATGTTGTTAATAGAACCTTGTGGAACGTCCATTTCTACCTCAGAACCCGGAGATTGCTCGCCATTGTCAACTGTCTGAATCCTATTAATTAGATATGAAGCAAGATGTTCCTAAACTGAAAAACTTTAGATAAATCACAAAAGATACCTAGAGAATCGTGGGCATCCTCCCAGGCATCAAATATTTTTTTATAAAGTGAGCCCTTGTAAAAAAACCAAATTGTCTGTTGTGTTATAAATTATTATTAATAAAATAACCTTGTAATTGATCATACACTATTTTTTCAATTTTTTTCCTAAATGCTGGTAGTACTGAAATAGGCCTAAAGTAAGTTGGATTAGATGTACTGCCATATTTGAATAAAGGAATAATATTACTGGACGTTATAAGATCAAGAAATACACCACTATCAAAAAATTAATTAAATGTAAATGACAATTGATTAGCCAACAGAGATATAATTTTCTTTGAAATAAATACAGAATTTCCCCATAGGTCAGTTGTTTTTTTTAACATTAAGAGTGTTAAAGGCTTTTATAATTTTAAGGGGAGAAACATATTGGTACTTAAATTCACTATCAATCCTACCCACATTATCTTTTAAAATTGATTCTGCAAGGCATGGTGAGGAGTTCAAAGATTTAGTAGTTGACACGAGAATATTGGTAAAAGAGTTCTCAAATGCGGCAGCAACCTTAGCATTTGATGTGATGAATTCATAGTTTACATTCAGATTTCATTCATTATCGCAGTATTGGTTTTTTCCAGTTTCATTGTTAATGATTTTTCAAGTCAATCTTATCATTGCTACTTTGAACTTATAAAACGGGACTTAGCCAATTTACCAAGTTTCCTAAACAGATTCAAATACTCTTTAACATAATTATGAAACTGTTCACTTTTATTATAATTTATCTCATCAAATAGCTCATAAAATCTTTTCCTACTTTTGAGTAAGTGTAGCCCATTCACTAAATGTGGCATTACCTTTAACCACTAGGGTTGTTGGTGTATAAATTGTGTTAATGTTGAAGAAAAAGTTTCGAAACAGCTACTATAATTAGTGTTAGGGTTTTTGTCTACGCAGAGTACTGAAATATTGAAATCAGCTTTAAGTTTACTTTTAAAGTTTCCACAACGCTTGGCGGTTTTAGGTATCACTGCAATACTTTTTTCCTGACACCTTTTCACACTTATCATAGAAAGATATTAATTAACCACAGTGGTCAGAGTGTAATTGATTGATTAGTTACAATGTCTGTAAATATACTCGTACTGTCCAAACATGTGGTAGTGATCGCAGTGATTCGTGTAGGCTCCAAAAACAAGTTCTTCAGATTGTATGATTGAAATAATGCCTTGAACTTTGTTACAATACTTGACATTTCTAATAGGTTAATATTAAAGTCACAACAAATGATGACCTTCTTTTTTGATTTTGTTACTTTAACAAAGAGTTCATCCATAACACGTTCAAAACAATCATACGTAGATGAAGGGGGTCGGTAACACATACTTCTATAAAACCTTTTAGTTCTATAGAGGCTATTTTTGTAGTTCGCTCAACTGATAGACTAACAATGTCATGGCGACCTATTAACTTAAGTTTCTTATTGATGAGTATCAACTATCATACTCATGTATTGTGGTGTGGTGTGGTAGCACTAGCACCCATGTATTGCTGTACCTCTGCTGAATGAGCTGCCTACCTGATGGTTATCAAAATTGAACATGAACTGATCTTGTTTAAGCAAATGTTCAGTAAAACAAAAAATAACAATCGCATTGCAGTTCATGAACAAATTCACCTCTAAGTCTCTGCCCATCATTCCTCTAATATTTTGAGGCATCAAATTTTTATTATTTATCTTATTATTTCTAATCAATATATGATTGAACTTGCTATAAGTATTCAAGTTGATACTGCAAGAGGTAGACTCTATTATCTTATCAATCAATTTAAATAATTTGTAATGTCAATCACAATATTAGGTAAATTATTGGCAATGTCATTTAAATTTTTGTAAATATCAAAAGAATTATCTGGCTACGTATTGGCAAAGTCATTATGGGTAATGTTAATTTGCTCAATAGAAGCAATAGTTTTAGCCAAGTTCTTGGGTGTAATTGAAAATTAATATGATAGCGAAACTATTATATGTCTCTTATAATAATTTGATAGGTAATGTCTACCTTTTGTCAATGACATATTATTATTAACAAGCTTGTTAGTGTCAATTAAATATAATTCTCAAACTCAACAAAGGCATACCAAGGATCACACAATTATAATAACTATGTTAATCCGTGTGTATTGTACAGGGACAGATATCATGTCTTCCTTGCAAGCAGTGTATATATTTACAAAAGGATAATTTACCCAAAGGTTCTCTACGCTCTCTAATATCTCAAACATGCGCATGTTAACAGATGATGACGCGTTTTCGTCAGTCTTATAACCATTACTAAGGTTTTTAGGAGGTTTTCACATTACATGTTATCCTATAAACCAGAAAAACCACCAGAAGAGATTTAAACCATCTCCTGATTTAATTATAGGACTATCTAAACAGGCAAGTATAAGTGGGTTTATTGAGATAAACAATTGTCCTGTACCGCTTCCTGATCAATCAGTTTCCAAGAAATTATCGTTTCGTGCCAAAACTTGGAATCCGATTTTTCAGGGTGCGGGTTTTGATGGAGGTGTCACTATTTTCTTACCGCAAATGGACTGTAGTTGTAAATAATATTACCGTGTTACTACTTGATTCAGTAGTAATACGGTAAACTACGTAGTTACACGGTACTAAATTCATTTGACCTGGATTGAAATAGAAAACATATGAAGAAATAATGTATTATCTAATATATGGATATATTATCTAACACAAGATTAATAAGGACTGCACGGATGGCGTAGTGGTTTAAGCGGTCGCCACGCCGCTTCCTA